CATACACAACTTAACCCTTTAGTTACATACCAACATCCCTTTTTATAACAAAATGACCTACTGATTAAGTTACTTCTGATCTGATAGTTGCAGGAGTAATGTTGTCCAGCTGCTTAACCTCGATCGTCTACTTTATCGGATCCTACGAGTGAAACACTCACACGCTAAGTCATCGACTTAGTGAGGCAATATAATAATAATATCAATAAATATAAAGTAATTGCCAAATTGAGATGGGTTGTAATGATAAGATGTATGTAAACAATGCAATAACCAGAACCATGTTTCTTACACATATACTTATCAAATTCACATTCATAAGTTCACCTTAGTAAGTTCATTAGCCCATGGTACCATACAGAGAACCTAAGGTTTGTGAGTATTGTGAGGTTGTGCACTATGCTGTCACCACAGCTCATATAATTACATCGAAGTGCCATGTAGAATTGCACCAGAGTGCCGCGTAGAATTGCACCGTAGTGCCATATAATAATGTCCATAAGGACCACATATCATTCCTTAAGAATCATATAAATATACTAGGGATCAAGTATGTGTCTCACCAGACTTCACACATGTTCCAAAGAATACATATATGTCCCGAAGGACCACATATCATTCCTTAAGAGTCATATACATATGCCAATGATCAAGTATGTGTCTCACCAGACTTCACACATGTTCCAAAGAATACATATATGTCCCGAAGGACCACATAGACCCTCTACCCTTTGCATGCCAACTATACATATAGTTCTCATTTACATAACATGGGCTTTCATAATTTATCTTATTTGTATCACGTAGACATATTATTTTCATACCTTTATCACATAACTCATATAACTTTTTCTTGCATATTCATGTCCCATAATGCATATGGTATGGATTCATGTCATATATCATAATATGACATACTATCATGTATCAAAATATTGAATCTAGACTTATCACAAGTCTAGAATTGAATAAAATACATATTCATGCTATGCATATGCACTCACCTAGATTTCTTTGTCTTTCCCTCGATTGATCCTACTTGTTGATGGTTCCGGAACTCGTTTAGGCTCGATATCTACATAGTAATTCATTGATACTTATCAGTATACTAATTAATATATTCTAAACTATCATTTCTTAGGCTAAAAGAAAAGCCATTTTCATCTTTTAATGGAGGTATGCATCGATGCACTACACCATGCATCGATGCATAAATCCTATTCGATGTTTGTATTTAATGGGGATGCATCGATGCACTGCATGTGCATCGATGCACCTTAAATAATTTCTGGGATTTATCATCGATGCATCGGTGCACAATGAATGTGCATCGATGCACATTGCCCAGAATTGTCATTTTAGCACGAAAATCTCTTCTTAGTCTACTTAACATTTTATATTTCCCCTCTTTATATATCCTTAACTTGCATACTCTTACTTAAACTAATTATTATCCATTCCATACTTTTGAAACTTAAAAATCCAATTCTCCATGTAGAATTTAAGAATCTAACCCAAATTCCAACATGTTCTAATTTGAATTCTAACACCTCATACTTCTTAGTTAAATTTATGACAAGTCAAATCCCACTTCTAATTCTTATTAGGAACTCTAATCCAAGATTTCACTTTTCTACTTCCTTTCTTTGATTCTTCATATTCTCCTCATCTTATGGTTTTAAGATAATCTAAGCTTTCCTTAAGCTTAGTTATCAACTAAGGATCAATAAGAAACCTTAAATTCATCAAGAATTTAATCAACAAAAAAACTCACCTTTAGCTTGGTCTCTCGATGGAGAAGAAGAAGTGAAGAAGAAGAGAAATCTGGAAACTTTTGTTCTCTTCATTTGCATTCCACGTGGATTTAAATATCCTCATCTAATATTTAATTATTTCCCCTATTAAAAGACTCATTTACCCCTTTAGTTCCTCCTTCTTTGTTAATTGATCCTACACAAAACATTCTCATTAAATCTTTCAACTATTCAATTTATCTACTTTGGTCACTGAATTTTATAATTTCATAATTTGATCACTAACCCGGTATGGAGGATGTTACAAGAATGATACACAGAAGCCAACGATAGCAAGCCCAGTTCTAAGCCTTCATAAATACCAATAACAGAAACGTATAAAAAGTAAAAGTCATGGAAATTACTACAAATGCATTAAAAGAAGACAAAGATGATACACCCTAATGATGTGACCCACACTACTCGACTACCCTAGTCTTAAGTCTCCATATTTTCCTATCAGAGGTCATGTCCTTGGTAAGGGCTAAATCCATTAAATCAGATCTCAAGCAGTCTTCCCACTTCCGCCTTGGTCGTCCTCTCCTTCTGGCACCGTCGACTGTAATCGACTCTACCCTCCTGACCGCATCCGACGGTAGTCGCCTAAGGACATGCCCAAACCACCGTAGTCTTCTCTCCCTCAATTTTTCGGAAATAGGCACCACCCCCAAGGACATCCTAATAGCAGAGTTTGTTGTCATATCCCACATAGTCCTACCACATATCCATCGAAGCATTCTCATTTCTGCGGCCTCTATCCTCCTTACGTGATCCTTCTTGATTGCCCAACATTTTGATCCATACAACATCGTTGGTCTTATTGCCATTCTATAAAAGGACACGTTCTCCCCTGAAAGGATTGTTTCAAGTACCTAGGGTCTATGATACATAAAGATGGGGGTGTAGATGATGATGTTACACACCGTATAAAGGTGGAATGGCTAAAGTGGAGGGCCGTTACTGGAGTTTTGTGTGACAAGAAGGTGCCTCTAAAACTCAAGGGAAAATTTTTATAGAATATTACTAATGTTTATTCCATTTTTATTCAATCTGATTTATTTTAATTTGTAAAAATATCTATTTGTCAATATTTTATATCCCTTGTTTGAATAAGTTCAAGAACACGTATTTGTGGAACGGACGTGAAAAGTATCACTTAATCGAAGTGGTACAATTCGATACGACGTTCGAACGAAATGAGACTTGAAATAAATCTATTTTATTTTATTAATTAAGTATTTTTATGTGAATAATTTAATGCATTTTATATTATTTTATTTTTATGCAAATGTCAATATTTATTTTTATTTCGATATGTGTTATTTGAAGATATACTTTTCTTTTACGAATGAGAAATGATTGAGATAGCTTTCTCGACGGAAGATTGCAAATTTCAAGATTTCTTATCGAGTTAAAGGATTTTCTTTTAAATAATTAATTCAAAGTAAATTAATTAAACTTTAATAAATTGATCATATTTTAACTTTATATTCGATTTATAATTTCCATCATTTACGACAAAGTGAAAGCGACACAGTACCAATTTTGGGCGCTGTGGGGGTGCTTACCCTTCCTCACGTGTAATCGACTCCCGAACCCTTAAAAATGAATTTTTGGTAAACGCAAACTGAATATTATTTTAAAAAACGATTTTTCTTAAAATTATTTTAAAATACGTTTTTAAGGTATGCGACCATCATTCGTTTGCAACAGATATAGAACGGTAACCTTTTGGCTAATGTCTAAATCATCCGCTGACTCCAAGTAGCTTAAAATCACAAAAATGGCACTTTATAATAATGTTTTCTTTTCCCTCCTTGAATTCCAGTCTATACCGTCGGATTTTGCCAAGAAATTTTTGACAAAGCAAACGGGTAATCTGACCTTATGCAACTCAGCTGGGAAAACTTGGACTGCAATGTACTTCAGGAACTCAGGAAATAAAATTCTGAAAGCACAACTCTATGGTGGTTGGAGAGAATTTGTGGAAGATAACCATCTCGGTGTTGGAGACATGTGTGTCTTTGAGCTAATTAAACATCCTGAAATCTTGATGAAGGTGATGGTCTACTCGATTGTTGAAAATGCAAGCAAGTCCTACGGACAACCGAGTGAGTAAAACTCGTTATACGTCATTGATTCGATGATCAATTTGTTTAAGTGACCATCTATGGAGATGTCTTTTTTTTTCTTGTTTTCATTGTAACATCTCATGAGAGTACGACCAATCGAGTTAAAACTAGGAGCTTGGTCAGTGATACTGAACCTACTTGTCAACAAAGTCCATGCCCCTCTAGCTCCAGAAAATTCAAAGTTCCGACAGACGCCTACATTGAAATCTTGGATGACTCTCCCCTAAACCAGAAAACAAAGAAGAAATTGAAATCCCCATCGACTCCAACTGAGAAACAAAGAGCATGTATGGGAGCTAGTAATTTCAGAACTTCAAATCCCTCTCAGTGTTGTGATGCACACAGAATAGGTCAGTTCTTTTACTCATCTGGTGAGATTTCTGTTCAATCCTCTCTTCATTCCATTACTGATCAAAAGTGCCAAAGTCACAAACTTCATCGGATTATGCTAATTACGAACCGAAAAGGATTTGTACCTTATGAACATAGATTGCTGATCAAGAGCTGAAACTATATCCATTCTTAATTAGGATCTTTCACTTCTTTGGCAGAGCATACCGGAGGAATTTGCCGATAGATATTTGAAGAACAGTGGAGAAATCATCCTGAGAGTTCCGGATGGTAGGACATGGACCGTCGAGTACGGAAGAATAACGACCGATGAACGTCAAAGAGCCGTGTTTGGCCGTAGTAGCTGGGGAGCATTTGTGATAGGCAATGAGTTGAAGGAGGGAGATGTGTGTATCCTTGAGCAGATCAAGGACAACGGTAACTCATTGGAAGTTGTCATTCAATCGAAATTAGTTGGACAGTACTTGCTATAATAGGAACTTTGTATTTTGATGGTATCCACTTAAGGATGAAAAATACTTGGGGTTAAAGTAAAAAAGCCCATGTTGTTAGGGATTATATTGTAAAGTTAGAATAATTTTTATCTTATGACGTATAACATAATTTTAAAAAAAATAAATTACATTTAGAATCCAAGACGGATTACAAATTGTAGAGATTATTTAAAGGGGGGAAAAAATAATAAGTCAAAAGAAAACGGTTACTACGCAAATTAAAAAGAAAAAAGCCTAGCCACCTGTGTACTCGAATTCGATCAAGCTTTGAATCCTTCATTCTTGTTAATCTCCGTGGAAGATCTCAACATCCAAAACCCAGCGATTCTTTGTTCTCAAGTGGGAATATCGAATATCAATTGTGGGATGCCTTCGGTCAGTTTTAGCTTGGAACTTTACATTGTAGAATTTGTAGCTTCTGAATAGCTTCAAACTTTAGTGTGATCTTCTACGATTGAATTTTTCTTTTACCTAAACTAGTATGCCAATTCTACCCATACAAGTCACTATCTTAATGATTGAATTATTTACTATATATCTCTTAGTTCTTGTGTAAATTTTGAATTCAACAATGGATTAATGTGTTCATTGTTTTAGTTTAATGCTCTTTGTTCAACTGATCGTTCGTTTTTAGTTCTGAACAAACAAGAAAGGAAAGATCATTCGTTGTTAGAAGCCTACCGCGAAACCTCCATTAGTGGTCACTTGAATCAGTGTTGTTAAAGTGTGCATTAAGCTTTGACTTTTGGGTACAGACAAAAAATTCAAACCAAAAAGGTTTTAGGGTTTCCCCCCCTCCTTTTGTACCGTGTGCAAGAGGAATTTCTTTTGATAGGAATTTTCTTTATTTTTTTTACCATCCATTATTAATTATATATTTAATAATAAGAAAACAAATTAAACTCCTTATTATCAGTATTTGAGTATTCATCAAGATCATAAGAAGATTATATGTTTGTACTTGAATTACTCTTTAAAATTTGTTATCATACTTGTTTATCTTAATTTGTTATTTACATACATATTCAGATGACAGCTGAAATAGATGGTGTGCATGATTTTAAGGAAAAGAAGCATGCAATCAATGAATTAGGTTTTTTTTCTTTCAATTCAGTTAAAAGTAAATGTAAAAGAAGAAAAGAATTTTGAAACAATTTCTACTCAATAAGAAGTTAAGAAGCATGTCTTGGTTGCTGGGAATTAATTTAGGAACACACCAAACAGTTACTGACCTTTGCACTGATGACTTCTTGCTAATTGTTACATGCAGAAGGAGAATAACGATTCCATGTTTAAACCAAAAACACCCCATTTCTTCAAGATCGTTTTAGAGGACACTATTCGAGATAAGAAGCTTGTAAGCATTATTCTCTACCCTCTAGTATTTCTTATTATTGGTTTGCATATTTTGTGCTTTCTCTATGATAATTTCTTATTTTCCACAGGGGATTCCTAGAAAATTTGTGAAAAAATATGGAAATGGGTTATCGGATTCAGTGTTATTAATGGTTCCAAGTGGTGATACATGGCATGTTGAGCTGACAAAATCTGATGGTGTTGTTTGGTTGCAAAATGGATGGGAAGAATTTGTTGCGTTTTACTCTCTCAAAAATGGGCATTTCTTGGTTTTCAAATATGAAGGGAATGACAAGTTTATTGTACTCATATTTGATATGAGTGCATCAGAGATTGAATATCCATGCAAGAGTTACATTGAAGATTACCAGAGTGGTGAACAAGTGTGCCTAAAGCCTGTCAAGGAAGAATCTAAAGATGATACTTGTGGTGAAATCACGCATAAGACTCCTCCAAGCAAGGAAACTAGGAAGAGGAGATCACAACCATCATGTTCTAAACCTCGGAAGAAACAGCAAACCAATAAAAAGGACAATGATATTGCAAGTAGGTTTTCATCCATTGATCCATATACTAGCAATGAAGAGGATAATGATTCGTTTCTCAACTTTTTTAATGATGTTTCAGTGAGTAGGAAAAGCAAAGAGAAATCAAATTCGCCATGTCCTCTTGGAAATCTCAACGAAGTTGAGAACTCACCGGGACAAGTTGGACAAGTTGATGGTATGCTTTCTTAATTTCATTCTTGGCAGTGGGTTACTTTTGAGATCCTCTTTTCATTTTTCCTTCTGTAATTACAGCTGAGGGAAGTGTGCAGGCTTTCGGTTGTTTGCGACATTTGACAGCCACTGAAAAGGTACACGCCATTGAGATAGCCAATGCTTTCAAAAGTAATGGAAATCCAGTTTTCATGGTGGTCATGCGACCATCATTCGTTTGCAACAGATATAGAATGGTAACCTTTTAGCTAATCTCTAAATCTTCCGCCGACTCCAAGTAGCTTAAAATCACAAAATTGGCACTTTATAATAATGTTTTCTTTTCCCTTCTTGAATTCCAGTGTATACCGTTGGATTTTGCCAAGAGATTTTTGACAAAGCACACGGGTAATCTGACCTTATGCAACTTAGCTGGGAAAACTTGGACTGCAATGTACTTCAGGAATTCAGGAAATAAAATTCTGAAAGCACAACTCTATGGTGGTTGGAGAGAATTTGTGGAAGATAACCATCTCGGTGTTGGAGACATGTGTGTCTTTGAGCTAATTAAGCATCCTGAAATCTTGATGAAGGTGATGGTTTACTCGATTGTTGAAAATGCAAGCAAGTCCTACGGACAACCGAGTGAGTAAAACTCGTTATACGTCATTGATTCGATGATCAATTTGTTTATGTGACCATCTATGAAGATGTCTTTTTTTTATTGTTTTCATTGTAACAGCTCATGGGAGTACAACCAATCGAGTTAAAACTAGGAGCTTGGTCAGTGATACTGAACCTACTTGTCAACAAAGTCCATGCCCCTCTAGCTCCAGAAAATTCAAAGTTCCGACAGACGCCTACATTGAAATCTTGGATGACTCTCCCCTAAACCAGAAAACAAAGAAGAAATTGAAATCCCCATCGACTCCAACTGAGAAACAAAGGGCATGTATGGGAGCTAGTAATTTCAGAACTTCAAATCCCTCTTTCAGTGTTGTGATGCACACAGAATATGTCAGTTCTTGTACTCATCTGGTGAGATTTCTGTTCAATCCTCTCTTCATTCCATTACTGATCAAAAGTGCCAAAGTCACAAACCTCATCGGATTATGCCAATTATGAACCGAAAAGGATTTGTACCTTATGAACATACATTGCTGATAAAAAAGATAGTGAGAGAAGCGTCTACCCCGATTCCCTCTCCCTTCTCTCTGGGCTGGAAGTTTCGGTGGCCGCACCACCGTCATAACCGTCGTCAGAAGCCGTGCCGGCCGCTACCTCCGGTGGCCGTATCAATTGAATATTTTTTCTCAGTTATTTTGTTTCTTGCCTTTCTCCAGAGTGTACCATACAAATTTGTGAAGAGTTATCTTGATGAAGAGAAGGATGAAGCTGTCCTTCAAGTTGCCGATGGGAGAACTTGGATTGTCAAGTTTGCTGTTAAAGTAGTCACCGCTGGACAACATAAAGCTGAATTCTCTAATTGGAGAACTTTTGCACAGGACAATAACTTGAATGTTAAAGATGTATGCGTCTTTGAGCTGATTAACCGCCATGAAAATTCATTCAAGGTCTCCATTTTTTCAGCATCACCAGGAGCTAATACTTCTCTGCTACAAAAAGGTTAGCATGAATCTACTTGATTTTTTGTTAAATTAATGACAGATTTAATCTATAATATTTAATATATTTTTTGATATATTCAGCTGATGATGTTAAAGCCATTGAAGCTGATGATGATTTTGGCAATTGTTCTACTGGAAATTCTAGCCCTGCTGCCAAACTCGCTACTATAGGATGTCAAGAAAATGAAGAGGAAGTCAATCATAGTAAGTATTTCTGCAATGTCCTTGCTTTAAACCTGACAATACTAGATACGACATGAACCAGATACCAAAAAAATAACTGACAAGAAGATATAAACACAATGCAACTAGGAAAAAGAAGCACGAACATGTTTCAAATTAACAAACATATTAAATTTTGTATTGATTAGTATATTTTTTTATATGTTCAGCTAATGATGCTATAGCCAGTCAAGTTGCATCTAAAGGTTGCTTGGTACCAAATATTGAAGCTGATGATGATTTTGGCAATTGTTCTGCTGAACATCGTAGTCCTGCTGCCGAACTCACTACAATAGGATATCAAGAAGATCGAGGGCAAGTCAATCCTAGTAAGTATATCTGCAATATCCTCACTTTAAACCTGACAATACTAGATACAACACGAACAAGAAATGAAAAAAAAAACTAATAATAGGATACAAAACACAATGAGACAATAAAAAATAAGCACGGGCAAATACATTAATATGTCAAAATCTGTATTGATGAGTATATTTTTCGATATTCAGCTGACGCTGCTAAAGCCAGTCAAGTTGCATCTGAAGGTTGCTTGGTACCAAAAACTGAAGCTGATGATTTTGGCGGTTCTGCTGGAAATTCTAGCCCTGCTGCCCAACTCACCACCATAGGAGGAAATCAAGAAAATCAAGAGGAAATCAATCCTGGTAAGTTCATCTGCAAAGCACTCACTTTAAGCCTGACAATACTAGATACAACAGAGAAGATTTGGAAAAAAACTAACAATAAGCAACAAAATACAACATGACAAGAAAAAAGAAGCTTGAGCATGATTCTAATACACAAACATGTCAAAACCCTTTTTGATTTATATATTATTTTTTCTGATATATTCAGCTGATTATGCTAAAGCCAGTCAAGTTGCATCTGAAGGTAGCTTGGTACCAAAAACTGAAGCTGATGGTGATTTTGGCAATTGTTCTGCTGGAAATTCTTGTCCTGCTGCCCAACTCACTGCCACAGGATACCAAGAAAATCAGGAGCAGATCAATCCTAGTAAGTATATCTGCAATTTCCTCTCTTTAAATCTGGAAACACTAGATGTGACATATGAAAAAAATAGCAAACAACAAGATACAAAACACAAGAAAGAAGCACAAACACGATTCAAATACACAACATGTAAAAATCTTTATTGATTCGTATATTTCTCAAATTATTCAGCTGTTGATGCTGGAGCCATTCAAGTTTCATCTAAAGATTGCTTGGTACCAATAATTGACGCTACTGCTGATATTGGCAATTTTTATGCTGGAAATTCTATCCCTGCTTCCCAATTCACTGTCATAGGATATCAAGAAACTGAAGAGGAAGTCAAACCTTGTAAGTTTATCTTCAATGTCCTCAAAACACAATTGGAATATACGAACATGTCAAAATTTATATAATAGTAATTATTAACTTATCAAATACTTCAGGAATACAAAATAATTTAAATGTGATTATGAAAAATGACAAGACTCGACACAAATACCTTATAAAACTGAGATTAAGCTGTAGAACCCAAAATATTAATTACAAATTACCATCCTTAAATGCAAGGGTATGATTTGTTTTTAGTTTAACTATGCATTGAGCTTAAACCTCATACATTGCACTACTAATGGCCTTTTGCCTTTGCAGCCATATCGACATGGCCAAAAGACCCACGAGCTGAGCATACCAAGGGGAAATCGCATCAGTCACAAGCTAGTGGAACACTTAAAGCTCTTCAAAGAGCATGTGATTTCAAGTCTCTGAATCCATTTTTCATCATTACCATGCAGCCATCCTATGTTTGTAATGAGTATAGATTGGTATGTATTCATTAGAAAAACAGAAAATTAAGGCTCTAGATTGTAATTTACTGAATTTCCCCCCCTTATGTTTCATGGCAGGCAATACCACTGCACTTTTCGAGGAAATACTTGACAAATGAGAGTGGTGATGTAATCCTCTTTGTGCCGCCAAATGGGAAGGCTTGGTTGACAGTGTATCGCCGTGAAGCAACAGAATCAAACCCGAGAGCCAAATTGATTGATGGTTGGAAGCCTTTTGTGGAAGATAATAACTTGGAAATCGGTGATGTTTGCGTCTTTGAGATGAGCGATTTAAAGCGCTATGAATTATTATTGAATGTAGTTATTTACAAGGCCGAAAAAAGATGAAACATAGCTCTACTGAAAGCTGTTGTATTTGTATGTACATATTTTTTTTGAAACGTAGCGAACTCTAAATTAATAGAAGTGGTTTCTTGTCCCTTTATGAACTTGGTTTTTTTTATTGTTTTAATTTCCTTTTGGGATGTAGATGTGCAAATAATTTGAAGGGTCTTAAAAAATACATTGCAAAGCTGTTCTTACCAAGAGCAGTGCTTTATATATGGATATGTTTTGGATCTATGATCCTACCAAGAAATGGAGCCATATCTTGGAGGACCACATTGCAGTCCATTGGAAATATGAAGTCCCTGTTGCAGATATTCAACCAATGAGGAGACAGGTTCACCTTAAGAATCATGTAGTACATTGGACATCTCTATCATAGACTAGTTAGAAAGTTGGCGAAATATGCACCCTAAATTTAGGAGTAGTTGCTTGTACCAAGAAAGGTCTATCTACGATCGATCTCGATAGTTAAAAGATTATTATTATCTTTTCAGGTCTTGGTTCAAGCGCATCATCTGGAAGCAGTGACGGATGCACTAAGCCCCTATATGAGCTAAGTGCATCCCCATTATTTTAGAAAAGTGAATAAATCTAGTTTAATGTATTAAGGAAAAAAGAAAAAAATTAAAATTTTTGTATACTCATTATTTTTAAGAAAATAAAATTAAAATTTTATACCTTCATTCTTAAAAATTTGGATTCGTCATTGTCTAGAAGAGTGCATGACTTTTATTACTAAATGATTGAAAGTCTTTTAAAGATATATTATCTCGTATTTATTTCAGACTAGTAAATAAAAGAATTTTCGGCATTTAATTATTGGATGTTTTCTATAAGAAAAAAAATCGGATGTTTAACTTTCTTTTCATTGATAGAGTATTGTTTGCCAAACAAGTAGCCATTGACAGTTTGCCAACTTAGACAGTTTGCCAACTTTGACAGTAGCAGTTTTCGGCAAATGTATCATGAAATACTATAAGTTTTCTTTAAAAAAAAATAGGGTAAAGTATAATAATGGTCACTGAATTTTTTTAAAGCTTTCATTTAGGTCCCTAACTTTTAAAACTTGCAATACAGTCCCCCAACATTTAGTCCGTTTGCAATATGGTCCCCCAACAGTTACGTCAGAGACCATATTGCAAACGGACTAAATGTTGAGGGACCATATTGCAAATGGACTAAATATTAGGGGATTGTATTGCAAGTTTTAAAAGTTGGGGGACCTAAATGAAAGCTTTAGAAAAATTTAATGACCATTACTATACTTTATCCTTAATTTTAATTTGATCTCTAAATTTTAATAAAATATTAATTTGACTTTGATTTTTAGATAAAATACTAATTTAATTCATGAATTTTAGATAAAAATATTAATATCATCCTTTAATCTAGTCAAAGTTTCCATCATCGATCATTGTTCATATTGTCATCGGTCACAGTCGACCACCATTTCTTACTACTGTTAGATCTAAAATTTATAGTTCACTAATTTTTTGATCTCTTAAAAGCGAATCTAATATCATCAAAAAATACTTCGAACTCTACAATCTTTATTGAGTACCTTTCAATTTAATTTTAGATGAACAATTTTTTTTATTAACAGGTGAATCATTTTTAATATAGCATGTAAGAGAACGTAAAAATAGATATGACTAAAAAGTTAATATTATTTTATTTAAACATATAAAAATACAACGTAAACAATATAATAATCGATTTGAAAATTAAATGACACGAATAGGGACGGACGTATAATTTTATATTATAGTGGATAAATTTAAATTTATAAAATTTTAAGAGAAAAATAAAATTTTAGGAGACGAAAACAAATTTTTAATAATTAACATATAAAAATTTAAATAATATTATAATTTTAAATTTTTAAGAGGACATCTTCCGTATAATCCATTGTCGATATATATTCTTCTGTCAGATGTGTTCACCTCTTCTGTACCCTATTATTTGTACCGGTGGCGCTGTTCTTGTTCGCGAATAATTTTCAATTTTGGAGACTATTTTTATTCGCATTGGCATTAATTATCAACTTTTTTAAAATGGAAAATGAGGGAAGGAAAAAAAATTACGTTAACCTTAATGTTAACATCATCGCGTATTTGACGTATTATTAATTTCTATTAAATAAAGTTGAAGATATTAATTTTTTTATCCATATTATTATTATTAATATTATTATTATTATTATTATTATTATTATTATTAAATATATATTAAACATATATATATAAATAATAATTACAGACCAATTACAACTGGACCGGCTCAGTTACAAACAAACCAGAACCGGTCCAAATCAAACCAGAAACCCTAAACATTTGGGTTTCCAGTTAGGGTTTCCTAACCCTAATCTAAACCAGCCGCCTCATCACAACCGTTGGATCTGGCACGATCCAACGGTCCAGATTGCCCCAGATGGAAACCCTAGGGTCTGATACCCTAGGGACACGCGGCCGCCGTTGCTATCTCGCCGCCTCCGCCGCTGCCACGTCCCAACCGAACGCTCCAGAAGCTCCAACGCCAGCCGTCCACGCCACGACTACGGGGTGAGTCACCACTGGTAGTCCGGTGACTCACCGAGACCCCCTCTTCGGACCGGTCCGACGGCTACAACGGTGGTGGCTATAAAAGCCACCACCCCAACCTGAAAAAAAAGGACAGAGACAGAGAACGGGACAGAGAGACAGAAAAAAAAAGAGAGAAACAGAAAAAAAAAACAGAGAAGATACAAACTATTACCAACGATCTCAGCAGCAAAGAACCAGAAGAAAAAAAAAGAAAAGGAAGAGACTTACCGAGGAAGCCTCGACCACCGGATCTCGTCAGAACCTTCGAAACATCGAAGGTATTTTTGTAGATTCGCTCCGATTAGGAGCTTTTTAAGGGAAAAGAACACCGGGACCGTCCTTAGGACGGTCCGATCTATTTATTAGTATAAAAATAATTTTTTCCGGCCACCGGATGCGGTGGCCGGCGGTGACATTCACGGCGGCACATGGTGGCCGACCGGTGACCGGCTTCCCTCCGATGAGGGAAGCTAGAGAGAAGGCAGAGAGTTTTAAAACTCTCTCAGTTTAGAGAGAGAGAGTGAAATGAAAAATGAAGGCTGGCCCGTAGGGCCAGCCGGTTTGGACCATATATAGTCCTTCCCGAACGACGTCGTTTCGGGAAGGACTATGCGCGTAATTATAAAATAGTTAAACCCCGTCCGCAGTCCTCCGAACTTGTAAACTTTACATTTTAGTCACTAAATTGAATTTATAATATTTTTAATTCAGTCTTCGAATTTTAATTTCTTTTATTTTAGTCCTTCATATTAAAATAATATATTTAGGATAAATTACAGATTTAATCCATTAATTTTAATAAATAATATTTTAATCCCTAGTTTATATTTTTAATTTATTTGATTCTAATATCCGAATTTTAGATAATTTTATTTTAGTCACCAAATAAATAAAATAAAGAAATAACATATTTAATCCCTATAATTTTGATTAATTATGAATTAGATTTTTAATTTTATTTTAGTCAGTTATTTTATATGTTTTCATTTATTTTATTGTTTTTAAATATATTATTTTAGTAGTATTTGTATTTTTATTTTATTATATTGTTAGATATTTTTATATTCATAAATATATAATAAATAGTATTTTTAAATATTTATTTTTAATATCGAAGAAAAGGACAGTCTTAATACAACTGGATGTCCTATTCTGATATTTTAAAATTAAAAAGTAAACAATATTATTTAAATTAATATTTATCAATATCAAAGAAAAGAGCTGTCTTAAGGCACCTAGAAGTTCTTTTCGGATATTTTTAAATAAATAAATATTTTTTTTATATAATTTTGAAATAATAGAATTATAAATTAAATATATTTTTGAATTTTTAAAATTTTAATAATAGAGCCAATTTATAATTAAAAAGTACCAATTTTGGGCGTTGTAGGGGTGCTAATCCTTCCCTAAACGTAACCGACCACGAATCCCTTTTTATTATTAAAAAGAACGAATTTTTGGTTATAAATGCAGATCAGTTCAATTTTTTTAATTGATGTTTTCTTAACTCTTTTAAAAAAAAAATAATTTTTAGGTATTCGACCTACCTGACCCAAAAGGCCGATGGCGACTCCCAAATTATTTTCAAAAACATTTATTCACATCACTTTTCCCGCCAAACAAATAAATTCATGCCCGGGCGAAAACCGGTTACGACAGCTTGGCGACTCCGCTGGGGACCTGGTCAAACTTTTAAAAATCAATTATAAATTGTCTCTATTAATTAAAAATTAAAAACTATATATTTAATTTTTTCTTTCTTTTCAAAATTTTTATATTTACTTATTATTTTCATAATATTTATATATTTTATTTTATTTGCAAGTATTTTATTTCATTATTTATTTCTCTGTTGAAGGTTTGAACATTTCTCCTCACACACAACACTTGCATTGCATTACATAAAGCTCTATAATTGAGTTGTCCCTTTTAAGTGGGAGTGAAAGCGACGTCTTCGTGAGAATTTATTCTCCGTGTCAGACCTAGCAAGTAACTTTCGGGGTTCATATGCTCTATGTCTTCGTGAGAATTTATTCTCCGTGTCAGGCATAGAGAAATGTATCCCCTCGAATTGAACTCGATCCACTTTAGTCTGTAATGGACTAGGATTGAGGGTTAGCAGCCTAAGGGGGCACTAACATGGACAATTCGAGTACCTTTACTCCTAGATCTGAAACCCTGCATATAAAAAACCTTAGAAACTCTTCCAATCCGAAGTCATGCCGAAATTTTGTCCAAAATAGGTGTACACACAGGAGAAATGAATTCTGTCTTTTCTGTTAATTTATTTATTGTTTAAATTACATGTTTATTTAAATTATTTAAATTCAGAAAAGCATGTTTAAATAAAGAATATTTATGTAAATGTTATTATTAAATTTCTTTATTATGTAAACTAATTTATTTTCTTTTTGTGTGTTCTTTATTTTTCTGTTTGCATTGCATCATACAGGATAAAAGACATTGATCCTTGTGTTAATTGTCTCATTGGAAA